TCATTATGACGTCATCAGCTAATTATTACATTAAAAAATATAAGTTGATAATAATCTTCAGAACTACAAGTATCACAACAAATTTGGTATCAAATTAAAGGGGACAACAAGATCTTTCATTTGAGTGGTGTGTCATTGGGATGGAATATAGTAAAGGGTGATTTGTGGGTCAAAAAAACTTTTTTTGGTCAAAAGACCTGTTTTTTGGGCTAAAATCATGGATTTTGGGTAGTCACTTTGACACCTTGTTTTAACATGCAAACAGTATGTAGTATTGTGAGATGTTGTTTTTAAGTCGGAGAGAAAGGTTCAAATTAATCTTAATTCAATCTTAAATGTTTAAACTTATAGGCGGAAAAGTGAGGTACCTTATAGTGAGGTACATTAGTAACAAACAGACAAAAGTACCATTTTTTTCACCAAAGCTTTGCCAATGTGTTACGATCAAAAATAGGGTAGGATGCAAAAAATCGGATGACAGGAAGGGTACTTCATGACGTCATAATGAAGTCACAATATACTACCGAGCTCGTACAGTAATTAATTGTAGAAAATAAGGTCGTGAAGCGTTGTGATGAGATTTCAAGTCATTAATTTGACATTTTGAGGTTCGGGGTATTGAAGAGTGTTATAATCAGTGACATTTAAGGAACAATAATCTGATTTGCTGTTGCAGTGACGTCACTATTTTCATTTTCATTTTTGATTATTGACAAAAGTGCTACAATGACGGTATTTGTCATGCAGAAAATAATTTGTGTGAAATTATGCGGCTCCTTGAATTTGGTCTTTACCACCATTTGTTTTGACCATTTACTATAGCTGGAAAACGTAACATTCTTATATGTGTTGTTTATTATGGGTAATGAGGTATGGGTTAGGAGCCAGACAGAAAGAAACGTGGTAACCTGAATGATAGATTAACAGAGTGGCCAGAAATGGTGATGGTACGTCCTTTAACAATGTGCATGTATTACAAACACAATACCAGTGCAGCAAGTCATGTCCTGCAGTTTGTAAAGGTTTTTAGTTTGGGACGTGAAAAAGACAAACAATTATTCATGATGCAGAAGTACAAGTGTGTTTCTCGATCAAATGCACCATCCTTGTCTTTGATGGACCGGGGGCTGCCCGATAGTCCGAAGGTTCTTTAGTCCGAAGGTTCGATAGTCCGAATGCACAAAATTTCCATAAGAGGGGGTTTGTTAGTCCGAAAATGAAATAAGGTTCGTTAATCCGAACATTTGATGCAATAGTCCAAAGCTTCATTAGTCCGAAGCTTCATTAGTCCGAAGGTTTACTTATCCGAAGGTTCGATAGTCCGAATTTAGAATAAGGTTAATCAGTCCGAAGGTTCAATAGTCCGAAACGAAAATAAGTTCAATAGTCCAAAGGTTCATCATTCCGAATCGACAATAAGGTTGGATAGTCCGAAAAGACTATAAGGTCCGATAGTCCGAATCGACAATAGGGTCCGAAAGTCCGAATCAACAGTAAGGTCCGATAGTCTCATACTGGGAACCATATTGCCCATTCAGACTATCGAACCTTATTCTCAATTCGGACTATCAAACCCTACCGTATATTCAGACTATCAAACCTTATCATCTATTCGGACTATCGAACCTTATTGTCGTTTCGGACTATCGAACCCTATCATCTATTCGGACTATCGAACCTTCGGATTAATTAACGTTATTCTATTTTCGGACTAATGGGCCCTTCAGACTATCGAACCTTCGGATTATCGAACCTTCGGACTATTGAACCTTCGGACTAACGAACCGTCGGACTAATGACCCGTCGGTCTAAGGAACCTTCGGACTATCGGGCTGTAACCGATGGACCGTCGGTTACAGCCCGATAGTCTCAAGGTTCGATAGTCTCAAGGTTCTTTAATCCGAAGGTTCAATAATCCCAACGTTCGATAGTCCGAAGGGTTGATTAGTCCGAAAATAGAATAAGTATCCACCAGACATCATCTTCTGTGTAACATGAGCAGAGTATCTCTGAAGGTCCACTGTGTGAGTAGTTTATCCTTTCTTGTTATCTTCCACATAGCTAGATTGCGACTGAGATCGTGCAAGTAATTAATCTTTAAAAAGCTTCATCTGTAGTCTTGCTTGTTAATTATTAGAGATTTTGGTAAAATGAACAAGTCTTTGTAGAAATTGTAGATATAATTCATCTCGCGTAAAATATACCTTTGCAAGTTTACAAACTTCCACAAAACGTATTATTTTGCAACATTGGAACGTATAATTGGTTTGAATATTCTACCTTTTTATTGCTTATGTGAACTGTTACTATCGTATTTCAGGTCAGTCATCATGGATTGGACTGCTTGCATTATCTGCATGCAAACTACACCAGAAAAACTACGTTGTCCACCAAAAGGTTTAAAGTGTAACGCTGGAGAAGTATATGCTTAATTCCTGGCAAATGTTGAAGGGTTTAGGGCAATAAATGCATTGCCAGTTGATGTAGAATATGGAGCTGAAGGGACAGTAGAAACATTTGTGGAAAATAATGCCTCGTGGCATCATTCTTGAGGTAATCATTTATGAGGTAATCATGACATAACGAATCATTGATCACAACGAGATAGGAGCGAGGGTGTTATGTACGTGTACATAATGTACATACATGTTTAATTTAATACGTTAAATTAGGAAACATCCCTCATTTTATCAGTCTACTTCTTTCACTTACCCAAATAGCTACTACATATGCATATTTATTCAGCCGACAGGCTCAAACGCTAAAAGATTTAATCAACCAATGAGCGCCCTCTCGGGCCAACCCATTATGCTACGTCATGAATCCGCCATTATACTTCCTCTTTTTTTCTAGCGACGGCATCGTGCAGAAGCAAAAATTTTTGCTCTCGCCTTTTGACGAGTTTTTGTACGTTTTTCGCTTTAAGAGTTTCTGTTTTATAGAATTGATCAACCAAGTGAGTTGTGTAGAATCTGTAGAGTTTGTTTTGAGTAAGTAGTTCTCATTTGGAGTGATTTGGAGTCTTTTTGCTTTCGTTTTTCTTTCACGTGGCGTAGCAGGTTTTTCAGCCTTTGTCTGACACCACGTGCGGCGGGCCAGGTCGGCACCGCGGGGCTAACCCAGTGCCGGGAAGGCATCGTGGGTTCTCCCTTTGGGATCAAGTGCAATCCTTTTATAGCTGAGTCGGCTTTCCTGAGTTATTATTATTATTATTTCTGTTTTACAGTTATCGAATAATAATATTTCTTTGTCAAAAATAATAATTTCATAATTATTAAAAAAGAAAAGAAAAAAGAGTGCATTTAATTTATGACTCCATAGACGGACGAATCCGTAAAGGCCTTAGGGGAGACAGTGTGTCGTATCCCCAGAGAGAAGTGCGGTTATTCTCCACAAGGTCTGCTAGTCGCCCCACACGTGGGGCCCCTGTTCCGGAAGTCAGACTTTCAGCCGTTCAGGGGACTAGCGAAACGTTTCGAGGAATACAGCGGTTTCGACCGTTCCCTGTTCTCCGTTCGTTTCCCCTAAGCTCGCGATGAGCTAGGGCCTAGCGAGACGCGTACAATGGGGGTATATCGACAGAGGTCGTTCCCTTCCCCCCTGACTGTTTCAGCTAGCTCGGGGAGCTAGTAAGCTAGAAGAGGACGTTTCGTTGGGTATATCGACAGAGGTCGTTCCCTGCCCCTCGTCCGTCCTAAGCTATCTCGGTAGTGCGGCAATATATGAGATAGCGATGAGACATTTGTGGGTATATCGGCCACTGGCCATTCCTTTCCCTCGGCCGTCTTGCCTGGCGTGTAAAGAGAAATTTCGTGGAGTATATCGACCAACGGTCGTTCCCTTTCCCTTCCCCTTCCCTGTTCCTGACATAGATGTCGATAGTACTCGCCCCCCTTCCACTCACTCGCGAGACGGGTGTTCTGGGGATGAAGAGGCCACTGACCCTGGTAATTTTTCGCCTTTTGACACTCAGCTGAGGCTGGTTCAAAGAGATATGGTTCGGGTACTGCAACTGCCAGAGAGCAGTAAGCCAGAGACCACCCGTCGTTCTTTCAAACGCCGGACTGGCGTAGAGGAACCTCGAGATCCAGCTTTCCCTGCTATGCCGGTGGATCGTTTATGTGCCAAACGGATCGCCGATTCATAGAAATGGACACTTTCAACAAAAGGTCAGCAGCCTATTTCCAGTTTCCAGAAAAGGACTGAGATGATTTCTTTACGGTTCCTGCTATTCCGGATACGGCCAAGGACAAATTGACTGGAGATAGTGGCAAAGCCCCAACCAAGTCAATATTTGTCGATAAGACTAGAGCAAAGATGGAGGATACAATGAAGAAAGTCGATGAAGTGGCTAGATTTGGCTCACAAACAAGCGCCTTTTTACTTTTATTATCTGAATATATCGTCTGCACATGTGAGGAAGATTCACAAATTCCAGCCGATATGTTAGCAGCAGCCTTCAGATGTCTGGACGAAATACTCTGTTTTTCTCTAGATCAGTTTACGAGAATCTCTATGTTGTCCGCCAAATCACGTAGGCCTAACGTGATGGAGGCACTTTACATACCACACGAAGGCGCTAAGAAGAAGTTAGAAGACCTTCCCTCTTATGGGCAAAGACCTTTTCGGAGGCAAATTCCAGGAAATTCTGGAAGTTGAATCCAAACGAATCAAAACAGCAGACAAACTGAGCTTGAAGAAGCCTTCAGCTTCTAACAAGCCCAAGTTCTCTGGGAAGAAGGCAACGAGAGGTGCTCCCTCGTTTCGCCCTGCCCTTAGGAAACATTCAAGCCCTTTCGCCAACAGACGGCCAAGGCATCAGCTGGTGCAATGGTTTCAGCTCCACGCCCCTACTCTGCCCCTGCACGCCAGAATGTACAAACTAAAGGCCGGGGACGTGGCGGCGGTGACGCCCCCACCGAGCCGACCCCCACAATGGGGCCCGTCGGGGGTCGTCTCAGAAATTTCGTAGGGCTCTGGAAAGAGATCACCTCCGACGCATGGGTGATTTCTATAGTCAGCCACGGCTATCAACTAGAATTTACAAGCACCCCTCCGTCGAAATATGTGTTCGCGAAACACTGGTTCCGACAAACGCAGACAAACGATTAGCTCTCGAACAAGAGATATCATCCCTTATTGAGAAGAGAGCGGTCCGCTTGGTGCCACCAGTGGAGCAGTTCACAGGCTTCCTGCCCTCCTTCTTTCTAACACCAAAGAAGGCGGCTGGCGAATGGCGGCTGATAATCAATCTAAAACCGCTCAACAAATTTGTCAAGACCCAAGCGTTTCCGAATGGTAACTCTCCCAGTAGTTCTAGAGTCGTTCCCCACACCAGCGTGGGGAACGTCATTAGACCTAAAAGATGCATACCTACATGTTCCCATCTTCCAAGATCACTCCCGATTTCTACGTTTCTTGTATCAGAGTGTTTCTTGCCAAGAGTGTTTACCAGGGTTGTGCGGGCAGTTGCATCACGTCTTCGGCGAGAGAACTTAATGATTTTTATGTATCTCGACGACTGCCTGATAGTGGGAAAATCGAAAGACGAGACTGCTCAGGATTTGAGGGACACTTATACGTTGACAACGAGGCTAGGCTTCATCATCAACGAGAAGAGGTCCCAACTAATCCCATCCCAGGAAATCACTTTCCTGGAAGCAGAGATCGATCTACGCAGGGGCTTAGCCGTCCCCACAGGGGATCGTATTACCAGCCTGCAGGAGTGCGTCAAACTTTTCCTATCCGCTCAAGTCACTCCAGCGCAAGTTCGGCTGAAACTTCTAGGGTTCACGGCCAGCTTAGTGGACCTGGTCCCCTGGTGCAGACTGAGGATGCGTCCTTTGCAAATGCACCTTCTGGCACATTACAGACCCCAGACAGACCCAATCTCTCTATTGGTCTCGATCGACGAAGTCATTCGTCCACACCTTCGGTGGTGGCTATTGGAACAGAACTGCGGACAGAGTTTCCCCAGAGGGGATCCTCATGTCATAATCTCCACCGACGCTTCCAACGAGGGCTGGGGAGTCTCCCTTCCCCCTCGACAAGCTGCAGGAACTTGGGACAACAACGTTCGGTCCCTACTTATCAATGTTCTAGAGCTTCAGGCCGTAGTCAACGCCTTACACCACTTCCAAGCAGATGTAGTGGGCCGGTCTGTTCTAATCAAGACCGACAACACGACAATGGTAGTATATATCAACAAACAGGGCGGTACAAGATCACCCCAGCTGTGCTACTTGACTTGGGAAATGTTTCAGTGGCTAATCAGACACAAAGCCGATCTACGTGCCATTCACATTCCTGGTGCGGAAAATGACATAGCGGACTCTCTCTCCAGGGGCAAAGTAATTCACACGGAGTGTTCATTGAACAAGAGGATCGTAAGTCAGATCTTCTCGATCCTAGGTCGTCCACACATAGACCTGTTCGCCTCAGCAATCAACACTCAGCTCCCGGTGTTCTGCTCGAGATCCCATCATCCTCAGGCATGGGCCTCGGACGCACATTCAATAGACTGGACAAACATGTTCGCTTACGCCTTCCCTCTGATCTCAATCCTTACAATGGTCATTGGGAAACTGGAGAGAGACAGGTGCAAGATCCTACTGATCGCCCCCTTCTGGCCGCGCCAGCCCTGGGTTCTGCGACTGGTGAGGCTCCTAGTGGGCTCCCCTCTATCTAATCCTCCCAGATCATCACGACCTACTCCTTCAACGTCAGTCCCTGTTCCGACACCCGGCTCCGTTAGATCTCCACCTAGCGTGCTGGCCACTGTCAAGCGCGCTTACCGATCAGTAGGTCTTTCTGAAGACGCTGCAGCCCTGGCCGCAAAGGGACGTCGTCTCTCAACACAACGAATCTATGACAGTCGACTACGACATTATAGACTGTGGATCCACTCTGTGCTTCTTTAAACCATTGTTCAGAATTTCTACTGTCATTGTTCAGAGCCAATTTGTCAGTAGGAATGGTGCGAAATTATCGATCAGCCATAGCAGCAGTTCGCAAAGGCTTTGCTGATGGCTCATCCATTTCCTCTGTGGCGATCACTCATCTACTCCGTGGAATATTCAATGAGAAGCCAACAGTCCGGAAACTAGTCCCATCCTGGGATCCGGGGCAGGTCCTGAACCTTTTGGCCAAGGCTCCATACGAACCCTTGGGCCAAGCACCCCTCATTCATGTGTCAATAAAGCTAGCCCTTCTGCTCGCAGTGGATACTGCTAGGCGTAACAGCGAGATCCAGGCGCTGACTTTAAATCCGGGACATATTCGCTGGGAACCAGGCGAGGTCCGCCTGATCCCAAAAGCGTCCTTTCTGATGAAAAATCAGACAGCAAGGTTTAGCCCTCCTAATATTTTCGTCCCAAAAATTGGGTCCTCCACCTCTGTCCCTTCAAGAACATTTATGGTCCCGTGCGATCCCTAAAGTGGTATTTGGCACGCACTACACCACTCAGGGGTGATTGCATGCAGCTTTTTATTACAACCACGCAGCCGCATGGCCCCGCCTCAAGGGACGCCATTGCGCGTTGGGTAGTATCAGCAATCGAATTCGCTAACTCGGACTGGCCGTCCAAAAGGGATGCTTCTGTCCAAGGCCTTGTCCGGGCCCATGACGTACGCGCCGTAGCGACGTCCTGGGCGTTTTTTTAGGCGGGGTCCCTATCTCAGAAATTTCACAGGCAGCATGCTGGAAGTCGGCCTCTACATTCACATCTTGCTACCTACTTGACGTACTCCAGACTAGAGGTAACACGGGGAAGACGATACTGACATCTCACCAGTCCTCGTCTAAGAACCCTACCCTGCACAGTGGTTCTTCTCGGCCTGGCCTGGAGACCAACTAAGCAGGTAATATATTTACATGTATATCCAATCTAAATGGTTAAATCATGATGTATATATATATATATATACTGTTGTTTAACCATTTGTTTTAAGGGTATCTCGCCTACCCGGCCACCAGTTGTCGGTGCCACTCTGAAAATGGTCCTTTGTCCACCCTTGTCACGATTTTTTTCTCTAAGGTTCCTCACTTTTCCGCCTACATGTATCTTTGGAACAAGTTTAAACATTTAAGATACTATTAATCAATTACAAAAACTCTTTTGGCATAGAATTTGAACCTTTCTCTCGGACTTAAAAACATCTCACAATACCACAAAATGTTGGTTCTTCCCCAAGTTTATGGTCTTGGAAGTCGGCATTGCATTAGGTCTATGGTGCTTGTTTCAGAAGTGTATTTAAACTGTTCGCATTGACGAGCCTCCAATCTCAATTGAGGCACAGATTTTCACTCTTAATCTACATTAATTCTGATCGAGTCTGAAGAACATTTTCAACATTTATAAAAAATATAAAAAAACAAAGACGATAGGCTGAGGTAAATCTTCATTTTGTGACATCGACTTTGTTCGAAAAGTTGTTTTACTTTTGATCCTCTCATCAGATTTTTAGAAAATGTGTTCGACATAAGAATGAGGACTTCATACAAAAAAAATCATTCCTACCTTCTAAGAAATGCTGCAGTGAAAATAACTTGCTTGGCGACCATGGCTAATTCACATCAACTGGACGGCGAGTAAAACTTGGCACTGCCACAAAGTTAATGTTGATAGGCAGGAGATGGATATGCAACATGACCACACATCACATTGCAGTTTGGATTCACTGAGTTTGCTGAACAACCACCTAATTTTATGGCTGGTACAGTGTAATCGTGCAAGACAACTGATGTGCAACTGCCACATTCTTCTGTTAAAATCAGGGGCTCAAGCCAACAGATTTTATTCACGATTCTACAAAAAAATTTCAAACACCATATGGAAGGGTTTCCATTTTTTGGCTTAAAGGCACGTCTAGAAACATTTGTTTTTTACCAAAAAACGGACCTACCAGTTTAATGAGCAAAATCTTGCTCAAAGTGAAGATAGGGCCGGTGTCCGCCAGATATGGTACCGTTTGGAAGAAAACAATTTTTGAATGTGGTTGAAAGGTGCGTTTGCAACAGAGTTGTGTATACTTTTTCTTTGCTTTCTCAAAATGTATGCATCCACATGGCTGAAAATTCAATGGGTTTATAGCTGTTCTCCACTAGTATTACTTGAAATTTGAGCAGTTTTGTTGCTTCAGATGAATCTTTTTTTACAAAAAGCATTTGAACAATCCTTATACATGTATATTAGATGTATATTTAACCCATATTCATAAATACCTAAGACAGTTCACCCATTCCCATTGGTCGAGAGCCCATCACATGGATGGTTTTAAATGGTTGACAAAAGACTGGCTGGCTTAAACGTTTTTCCAGTGCTACATGAAATTTGGACTAATATGAAATCCCGTGCCTTTTTCCGTTTTATTGGTTGAACGTTCACAATCCTCACGTAGGCATGCGCAATACTACCAGTGAGTCATGTATTTTAAAGTCCTAAATTCACAATACACCGGCACAGCTGCGTTCTGCGCCACTCACGCAGGACGTGCGCGCCAATCTCCATATAAGTAAAATTTTGAAACTGCGTGGTGGTGGTATGAACTAGAGAAGGTTTGCGGTAACACCTAGTAGAAATCTCTTTTGGGATGATGCATGGTTCTGAAAAGAACCGGTTGGTTGTAAAACTTCAAGATCTCTCAAGATCGTCTTCAGGAGATCTCCTGAAGTAACGTTGAGTTTTACAACCAAACGGTTATTTTCAGAACCACACATCTTCCCAAACCGGATTTCTACATGGTGTTACCGTAAACCTTCATTAATCTCCATATAAGGACTTGTTTACAGCTTCTCGCGGGAGGGACACACCATAATAGAGCTAGAGCGGTGTTTCGAAAATAATGAAGTAAAATTGCTGAACAAAATCTTTGGAAATTTAAAATTTTTGACTAGTTTTGACTTTTAGACCTAATGTTTTGATTTTTTGACTGAAAAGATATTTACGAATGGGAATAAGTATGTGCTTGGCTGGTATAAAACACTCTGTTTAAGACTGTTGAAGTCTAGTATCTGGATGCTGATAATTACCCTCGCCATCCAGACTCTAACCGGTTTTACTAAACATCCTGTTTAAAACCGGCCAAGCACGCATTAATATTCCTATATTTCCCAATAAGGACCTATTAGTGTGGAGCCGACAAATTGACAGTTGACATGTTGAGCTGGCAGGTGATAAGTTTAATTAGCAATATGGAGACTACCGTAGTTATTGACTGAGGATGATCAAGCTGCATGTACAAACATGCCACTTACACTAGATTACATTTGGTGCACAGACAGAAGAAGCCAATCCTCCCAGGCAATAATATTGATCACCAACTTGTTTAACTCCCCACAAAAGTTTGACATCTCTCAATCGGGCAGCTAGCGCATAGAACAGCGTGTCCACACGTTTCTGATTATAATCGGGTGAACGTGCTCGTTTAGTTCAATACTGGCCAGCCCAAATCAAAGAGCTGCTCACAAAAATAAGCCAATTACATGTCTCCATTGATACATCTAAACAAGTCTGGGCAAGTAAAGCTGGTTCCGGACCAATTTGGTCTAAGGTGTCTATCAGTGGCGTAGCCAGGAATTTTTCATTTGGGGCGCTAGGGGGGCTGGAACATTTCATGGGGGGTGGGGGGCGTCATGCAGGGGCGTCAATCGCTTCTCAAAAGTGGGGGGGGGGCGGACATACCTTGATCAGAACTGATGCGAGCACGAAGCGTGAAGCCCTTACGGCGTGGGGTTTCGGGGCCCGCTTAAGGGGCCCGAAAAAAAATTGATTCTAGATGTTCTGTGGTGTGATCTGAAGCAATTTCTTACCACTTTCCTCCATGCTTTAACTAATATTTTCTTAGCAAAAGATAATTATTTGAACATCGTTTTCGAGGTTGGAGTCATTGAATCAGCTATCGGTATTTTGAGCTATAGGCGTGTGGTTCGGGGCCCGCTTATGGCCCCCGAAAAAAATTGGATTCTCGATGCTCTGTGGTGTGATCTGAGGCAGTTTCTTACCACTTTAACCAATAATTATTTTAGCACAAAAGATAATAATTTAAACATAATTTTCGAGGTTTTCTCAGCTAAAGGCATAAGAAACATTTTTGAACATTGTTTTCGAGGTTGGAGTCATTGAATCAGCTACCAGAATTCTGAGCTTTAGGCGTGGGGTTCGGGGCCCGCTTAAGGGCCCCGACAAATTTTGGATTCTAAATGCTCTGTGGTGCTATCTGAGGCAATTTCTGACCACTTTAACCAATATTTTCGAAGCAAAAGATACATTGTAGTACATAATAGGGCCCTGTAAATGAGACACGAGTTCAAAAATCTGGGGGGGGGGACATTTGATATTGTGTCCCCCACCCTTCAAAAAAAAGGGGGGGGGGACATGTCCCCTGTCCCCCTTAGGATTGGGCGTCATGTAGATCAATGATATTTTTTTTAGAAACTCAAAATCTCAGTGGGGGGGGGGGGGGCGACTGGGGGGGGGGCACAAGGTTTCATGGGGGGGGGGGGGAGCGGTCGCCCCCCACGCCCCCCGGTGGCTACGCCACTGGTGTCTATATATACGCAGTTATCTGAGTCAGATTTTTGGGAGACTTCAGTGAATCAGTGAGATAGGTGCAAAGAGGACCGTAAGCTGGCCCTTATGGGTCCAGCAAAAAGGCTTGTCTATGGACTATTTCACCTGTATGGCATGACTGTCGGTTGCTAACAAGCAAACATCCGTCCAGATTTTTTTACTCATATTGCACTGGGCTAAGTCAACACTTCAAAGTCCATGCATATATATTTCAAGTGACAGTGAAGAATAGTGTGTTGTTGCTTCCTCCAAATGAAAGTCAGCACCAAGTGACAACAGCATGCAACTGGGTAAGCAAATCTAACACATGGTCTATGCTAAAAAAGCATTACGTTTTAATCCACTAGTAG